ATCTGAAAGAAGCCAGAATCTTCAGCAGATACCAGCTACAGAAATAGCTTCTGGTGGGTTCAGAGCCTTTTTTAAAAAAAAAAAAAGTAAATGAAAAAATATGAATATTATATTAAACAAGTGGAAGTTTTTCTGAATGTCAGTTTGTGATATTATCCTATTATCTAATGTGGAAAGCAAATAAGCTTAATTTAAACAAGTATTTATTGTCTTCTGTGTGCCCAGCATTGAAATAAGTATTAGGAAATTTTAAAACTGATCTTGGTTTTATCTTGGTTGTACATGTAAGTACACATCCAGTTCAGAAATATTAGATACAATTTAATGTAGTTAAGACTGTATTTAGAACTATGACTGCTAAGCATGAGAAAGGTATTTGTGGACCAAGGTAAGATTTCACTTTTGGGATTAGGCCAGATTTATTCTTTTTTCTTCTGTTTACTGTTTTTGTTTGTTTATTTGTTTGAGACAGGATCTCACAATGTAGTTGAGACTGACCTGGAACTTACTATGTAGCTCAGGCTGGTCTCGAACTCACAGCGATCCTCCTGCCTCAGCCTCCCGAATGCTGGGATTACAGGCAATGCACCACCATGCCTGGCCCTTCTGTTTACTGTTTATATATGTCAACTTCTATCTGGTTTACTTTTTTTTAATCTCTTAGTCTAGGAAAAGCTACTGAATATGTCCCACCTTTAGAAAAAAAATCAAGCTACAGAACATGACTTATGCCTCCTGTTTCTCCATATTCTTTGTAAACTTTATTTGGGAAGCTTATTTTATACAGTTGATAAATGATCTCAATTTGTTATCTAGGAAATCTTGCCTTTCTAAATTGTTTTATCTGTGAAATGATAAATAGCTAAAAGGTTGGAACTGCAACTCAAATTTATAAAACCTGTGGCACCCAGTCTTCCTTAGTTTCGGGGCTATGTCTATAGCAACTCCTAACCAGTTTCAAATAAATTGTATAGCAGGGAATCTTTCAAAGTTTGCTGAATGCATGACTTGTGCCAATATTGCAGATTTAAAATGGCACTGTACAAAATCCAAATCCTTTATTAGATATGTCTGTGGGAGTTCGCAATATTTAAAAGGGCCATGGATTTGTTCAGTGGCACCACCCTTGTCTTGCAAGTGTAGGGTCCTTTTCTATTTCATTTTCTATTATTTCTATACTATAGGCCACAAGGATGCACAATAGGATTAGTCTTTAAAAACCTTATAATTATAATCTACCTGGGATTAGTAAAGCAAGCAAGCTGTATATATTTTAGTGTCAACACAACTGGTACACTGGATTCCAGAAAGCGTTAAATGTAGAATCTAATTTCTGTATATGGTTTTGTATTGTGAAATAGTGAGTAAAGTAATTTTGGGCTTGTTAGAGAAAACCTTAAACAGCTGATAAACACTTAAACCGTGACCAGGGTAGTAATAGAATTTGAGCTGTACAGTGGTGAGCTGTATAGTGGTGATACGATTGGGAAAGAGGACACTTTGGGGAAGCAAACTAATCAGAAGCTGTAAAGATGGAAGATGTATTTAGAGACTGTCAAGGGTAAGAAGGGGATGCCAGTGGGATTGCAGAGAGAAATTACGAGCAGATTGAGGTAAAATAACAGTATCAGTCTTTACATGAAAGCTGGAGATACAATTAACAGGTAGAATAGAAAAATGTTTAGTTTTAAGGTTGAGAGACTAGGAGAATAACAATACCATAAACTGTAAAACTGAGTCTGCCTTGGAAGAATGACTCTTGGTCCAACACTGTGAGTCGGGGAGTTTAAAAGTAATACCAGACATGGAGTATTTTGAAAACAATCTTTCTACAAAGTTCTAATACATTTAATTTTGCTTTGTCAATGAAGTTGATGTAACTACCTGTGCCTAAATGTAACATAATTTTGTAACTTTTTCCAGCAGGATCTATTAGTGGAGATATTATTGATGAGTTAATGTCTTCTGATGGTAAGTAGTTTAAACTTTTACTACTTTATACATCAATAATGCCTTCCTAGAATTTATAAGTGACATAAGATTTAAAATAAACCAAAAAAAATTTTTTTAACTGCTTCACTATGTCTCATGAGGATTCTCCTTTAATACTACTTTATAATAAAGCACAAGCATCCTTGTTTTTGTTTCTTTTTATTCACATTTTGAGGAGAAAGAATCCATAAGGAGATTCTTAGCACTTGCACTGCGTAAACTGTTGGAAAACTAGCACTTTGCACTCCTGAAGACTCTGGTTCAAGATGAATAATAAAATAATATATCAACATCAACAGGTGACAGGAAAACCCAGTTTTATAAATACTCCCACCATCGCTAATTTCAAGTTGCCACTGCAAATCACCAAACTATTACTAACATCAGCCACGTCATCACCTAATATGAAATGGTTTAAAAATCAATCAGCTACAACATTACATTAATAATTTCCCTTTGGGCTTTGCCTTTGGTCATGTATTCAGCATCCTTGTTCCTAACAAATGCAGCAGAGACCTAAGAAGTGGTAGTTAAATTAGCAAATGTTAACAGTAATGATTTAAGAGATTTACTAAACATTTAGGTACAGAACATCAGCAAACAGTAAATCTGCATACATATTTGTGTTTTCCAAGTGGGAGACAAACAGTACAATCTAATACCAATAACCAATGTATAAATTGTCTTTACCTGTTTATACTTTCATCAAAGTATAAACATCGGTCATTAACAGGATAATTACTATGTGTGCGTTGTGTACCTTTTTAATCCATATGTAACCTAGGAAACAGTTTGGTTGAGGTATTTGAGAATAGCTCGTTAAACCTCATCACCCGTATGTAGAAACCATCTTTAACCTTGACTCTGTTTGTTTGCAGTGTTTCCGCTCTTACGGCTTTCTCCTACCCCTGCAGATGACTACAACTTTAATTTAGATGATAATGAAGGAGTTTGTGATCTGTTTGATGTCCAGATACTAAATTATTAGATTCCATGGAAACTTGGGACTGTTATCTACCTCTAACTGTGTAACATTTTAGATTTCTTGATAACCTAAGTATTTAAAAATAATGAATGTAACATCTTTTTAGTTCACTGATTCTGAAGTGTTCTTCCCTAATACTTTCTTTTTTTACTTCACAAAACTTCAACCATAAAAACAAAGGGCTCTGACTGTTTCCGGGGAAAGAGGGTTTAATATCTATCAGCCTTCCCAATCCCCAAATAATAACATTCTGGGATTTCAAGTTCCAATTCTGAATCCTTCTGTTTCCTTTTATGAAAGGAAGGTTAAAGTAGACTTCAGGTTATCAAAAACAAAGTTGGCCAAGGGCTAATCACTTATTTGCCTTGTATTTTTACTGCCATGAATCTATTTCTGCATGTGTGTCAGTCCAAGGAGACATTCACTGCCACTTAAAAAGTGAAGGATGTAATTGAGGATATGTAACTGTTTCAGTGAACAGATTTTGTGAAGTGCCTTCTGTTTTAGCACTTTAAGTTTTTAATTTTGTTGACTTCTGACATTCCACTTTCCTAGAGTACAGGAAAGATCTGTTTATGTAGTTTGTTTTTAAAATGTGCCAATGCCTGTACATTAACAAGATTTTAAAAAATAAAGTTGTATAAAATACTTATTTTATTGAGTTTTTTGGGGGGAATTTGATAAATCTTCATTGTACTACAGTTGAGCCATTAATCTTGCAGCTTCATCAACATTAACTGGTTCATTTTCATGACGCTGCTGATTATTCTGAAGGGAGAAAAGTATATTTAAACATTTAGTAACAATAAACAAAAATGACTTTTACATAATCTTTTTATCATACCTTGAAAAGTAAAACAAATTCTTATTCACACAAAATATTTTTGAGTCTGAAAATACTAAAACATACTATAAAGCCAAGTACTAAAAAATTTCATTTGATTCATCATTTTACAAAAGTCTTATTATCCATCAATGTGTCAGCCATAACAACAAAAAAAATCTACTTACCAACTTTTTCTCCAGCGGTTCAAGAGTAAGCCTTTTTGAGAAGTTTGCAAGTTCCTTCTGAATGTTTATAAAAGCATTATTCATTCTACGAACTTTTTCAGCATTTACAATGTTTATCTGTTAAAAAATATTAATCCACAATTTTACAACTATTAAAGATAAAATGTGAGGCTGGGGATTTAGCTCAGCAGTGCCGCCACCTGCCTCACAAGCGCAAGGTCCAAAGTTTGATCTTTGGTACCCCCCCAAAAAAAAGATAAAATGTATTAATTTACTCTGTTAAACCTAAAAATCTGCAAACTTTCAACTCTACCAATTGTGGAGAAATTTCATGCTAAAGCTATCATTAGAAAATTTTAGATTTTAGGTTTTTCAAAATAACAATTATGTGGACATGCCTCATACCTAGACTTTAGCAGGCCAAAACACATGACTATAGTCCTTCGAGGTTACTGTTATCATCCCTCATCTTTAAAACCAGAAACCTGTGTCAAATGCTTTTAGTCTCTTCTAATAGTACATCCTAAATCCTTCCTTTACCTTAATGTAAAAGTCCCAGGTGGGCCTTCCTCTTGAGTCTTAGGAGGTAGAGATGGTGATTTATATTCACTGCTACTACCAAGCAATTTTTTTCACTAATAAAACATCTTCAGCAGATATTATTTTGTATATATAGAGAACCTTAAATGCTTTACAGACATTATTTCGGATTAACCCCCACAGCAACGCTGTGAGGTAGGTTATTCTGCCCATTTTACAAGACAGGCTGAAGTATAAACATGGGGAAAGCGAGAACAATAGAAGTGCTTGTATTTTGATAGCTTAAACCAAACTGTGGAATTTAAAGCTGTTTTTTACACTTTTATACAGCGGAAAGGAGTACAATGAAGCTGAGTTAGTTTTAACAAATCAGCTGGGCAACAGCATGTATACAACCAAATTTCCTCATATGGTCAGCAATGAACCTAACCACTAAATTTGATTTAGTTCTTATCCAACTAGGTTTGCAACCTGAACTGTGGAAAGAATCAAGTTCTTGAACCAACCAACATACCACTGTAAATTTAAGTCCTACTTTTAAAGTAACATTTCTGTCTTAGAACTTTGACCAATTACAGGAGTAAGGAGGCTTAGAAAAGGTGAGGAAAGGAGAGCTGTATGGGTTTTGTGATTTACAACCATCAATATAGGATGTTTTCTTTCTTTGATGGCAGTAAAAGATCTCACTTTCATAACCACATTTGTAGTTGTGACTCTGTGCAATGCTGGAAGATCAGGCAGGCTGTGTAATTTGTACAAAACAACTCAGCAGGCTGAGAAGCTACCTGGGATAGAACTTGGAACCTTGCACTTGCGAGGCAGGCAGCAGTACCACTGGGCTAAATCCCTGGCAAAACTGTATCTTAAAAGTGAATTTGTCAAAATATTTTTGATATTTACTATATATATACAAAATGTAATTTTCTCCCAGCACATATGTCTAATCTGCCCAATTAGCTAAGTGACATTATTAAAATCTGTTTATGTTAACAAAGAGGTGCAGTTGTCTCCTGAGCTCAAAGATGTGGGTAATACAGTACTCATAATTAGTAGCCTGGATCATAGCTTAAAAAAAAAACTCTGAAGATTACATTTTGATGAAGTAAACCCCCACCCAAGTCCTTTTTCCCTCTTTGACTTTACAAATTGATTAGAAGAACATTCAGAAATTTGTGTTTATTTCATTTTGCTGGGGGTTTTCAAAAGTAATATATGTAATGTAAAATATTTGCAAACCATTGCAGTTAATATTCCACACATTGGTAGATTGTATGATAGTGGACAAATGTCACTTTCAGAAAATACTGAAAATTACATTAAACATAATAGCAATCATCAAACATCATTGGATATTTCTCATCAAAAGGCATTCTAGTTTTCTAATTCTCTAATTTTCTAGTTATTTTACTAAAATTTGACAATAAAAAAGTATGTTTCTCAGACCAAACAATTTCTCCTTCAAAACCTTCAGCTCCTTTGCACAGTATGCATGAGAACATTCTGGTTCTCCCTCATTGCTGTCACTCACCAATATCATGATTATTTGCTGCTTCATTAAAGATTTCAAACCTTAGCTCACTAACTTCGTGCCTAGTGTCACTACTTAGTGACTTCAAAAATCTAAGCCCCCTTAATCTCCTGAGGTCCTCATGACCTGGGATCTTCTCCATTATGTCCTCAGCCAACTATGAAGTACATTCTGCACCATTGCCGCTCCTTGTTCACTTAGTTCAACAATTTTTGAATCTCACTGAAACCAGTTTCACTATTTTCCATATCTTTACATCCCACTTTTCCCTGTAGCCAGCACAGATTTCATAGCCATCATTTAATCGCTTCTTTACACTCTTAACTTTCTTTCTGTTCTTTTCCTTAATCAAACTTGCCTGACAATGTGGTTACACCCGGCTATCTCTTTTCTGAGCCCAGAACTGAAACTGGAGAGTTGTAGCTGGCTGAAAATCTTATGACCTTCTGCTGCTAAGCTCACTTTATGAGAAAGGTACAATATTTGATACTTTATTCAACTATGCTACCTATTCAGATCCCTCAACATCTCTCTCTCCCTCTCCCCCGCCCCATAAGCATATATAAAGTTTCTAATACCTCAAATGCATCAAGCTTTCCCTATTTTGAGGCCTCTGCACTTGCTACTCTTGTCTTCCTAGAATATGTTGCTCCCAACTCATCTCTGCATTACTAGCTCAAATTTGCCATCTCAGCCTATGTCACACACAAAGACAATCTTATGTGAAAGTCAATTCCAAACTCCTATCATAACACCTAGCTCTTTTCCTTTGTGGCATTTACAAAGTCTTAGGCATCAAAACTTAGCTAGTTGGTAAGTTAAAGCTGAAATGTCACTTTTCCATGGATTATAATAAGAGTCCTGGAAAGCTGGTTCCACCCACTATATCAGTTTGAAAACATTTTCTTTCTGGCTTTTTTTTTTTTTTTTCTTTTTTTGGTATGGGGAGCAAACTCAGGACCTCGTGCTTTCAAGGAAGGCAGCAGAACCACTGAGCTAAATCCTGCCCCTAAAAACATTTTCTTAAAGAATGTTAAAAGAACCTACTTAAAGAATTTTCTTAAATATTTTGAAATAGATAATATATTTCAAATTCTGCTTTTCAGGAAACAGTATTCCATCTTCAATTTGCAGACTTTTATTTGAGTTCCAGGACAAGAATGAGAGAAAAAGAATTGGTGCTGGCTGACATTCCATGTCTTGGCTCTGTTAATAGGTTCTTGAATATATTTGAGTTCAGAGAAAAGAACTGTTTTTCATACTATGAGGTCTTTCTTTAATGCTTTCCATGCTCTAATAAAGCTGTTAAACTATTATATGGTACCTTACACATTTGCGCTTAAATACTTTTTTCTTACCTTTTAAGAAAGGGAGATTTTTTTTTTTCCAACTTAAAAAAAGTTTAAAATCATCTTGTTTTGTAGGAAAGGCTAATAACTTTTTGGTTAAACAACTTATGTTAAACAATCTATTGGATCAAATGATCTAATGATTCTAATCCATTTATACAGTAGCTTTACCTCTATGCTTCACTTGTGCTTAATAAAACTCACCTTTTTAAGATTAGTAGTGACTGGTTTTGCTTTGTTTTTGGATTTAAAGTTTTTTTGGCTGGCTATGTGAAATACATTCCTGGACTTCTGCCCTCTTAATTTATTCTTGGCCATTGTCTAGAAAAGAAAAGGAGAATCAATTAAGTTGCCTATATTTAAGAACTAAAATCAATTTAAGTTTTTTCTTTTTCTTTTTTTGGGGGGGTACCAGGGATTGAACTCAGGACGTTCCGCTTATGTAACTAAACAATACTAATTATGTAACATCGGGCTGGGAATTTAGCTCCGTGATTATGCTGCCTGCCTCAAAAGCCCAAGGATCCGAGTTTGATTCCTGGTATCCCCCTCCCCCCAAAAAATCATGTAACATCTACATTAGAAATCTCCCAGATCAGTTTTTAATAATGCATGTGAGAAAAATTCCATTTTACTGGAAAAAATAACTGATTTAGAAAAATGAATGCCTAGTATCACACTCAGTAATCACAGATGCCATGATTTCAAGGCATGTCAACTAGATCAGAGCTCACGTTATGTGATATGCCTCTTATGTATAAAGAAAAAAAAAATCAATTCCAAACCATGGTGTAAAGTATTGCCTAGTTCAGGACTGGGTTACTACTGCAGTCCTTGAATCTATTTGTTTAGATCAAGGATTGGCAAACTATGTCGCATGAACCAAATTAGACAGGTGTCTTTCTCTTAGTATTCACTGCATACTCAATTATGCATTGTCAGTAGCTGCTTTTCTGTTAAAAATATGGCCTACACAGTCCAAAATATTTATTGTCTGACCATTTACAGAAAGCTTGCCAACCCCTTGTTTGAGCCACTGCACAATGGCTATCTTGTATGGTGCTACGTGAACCTTCCCAATGTTAAAAACCTTTCATGGCCCTAATACATAAAAGGGCAATATAACTTGGCCCAGCATATTACTAGTACCCTGAACAGCCTGTCAGTCAAACGTCATCTCCTACCTCTACACCCAGTACTATCCGGTCTAACTGTTCTCTGAAAGCATCTTGCAAGTATCTCCATAGCTTTTACGTTGTACTTCCATTGAAATTTATACCCTCCGTTAATTTGGCCTCAGAAAACTAAGAGAATAACACTTTTGAACCCTAAAAGTACTACTTTAAAAAAGTGACGCAGTAGAAAATAATTACAGAAGCAGAAACATTAAAACCATTTAAATTAATCCAAAATCTCTCCAATAGTAACCAAAATTCAGTCTTCTAGTTAAGACTGCTTATAGTACAGAACTCATGTGTTGGAACATACACAAACATACACGACAGATATTAGTACAAAAAATACTACATAAAACATGTTGCAGGCAGCATACCAGTGAGGGTACAAAACTGGGAACATAAGGAAGGAATGCTCTAAGTGGGGAGAGGGGTTAGGAAAATTCCCACAACAACGTGGTAACTGATCTTAACTGACACAGCCCCAAACTGGTAACGTGCAAAGGGGATGGCACCGGGGTTTCGGACCTGGCCGGGAGGCCAGGGGCCCATGAGGGCTGGGTGAGGCAGAGCACAGGGGAACCGACCCCTGCAGGCCACAGCACCACGCGGCCGGCCCAGTTCTACCTCAGTCCCCGCGAATTCACGCCAGGTCACCGAAAAGTTTCATCAACCGTTCACCAGACCTTTGATATCCGCGTGCTGCTACTCAAGCTACAGTGACACCATCTGCACGCACAGGGTCCCGGAAGTTCCGGGGAAAGCGATCCGGGGGAGTCAGCTCCCGCGCTATAGTCCCGCCCGCCGAACTAAGCTCCGCCCACTGAACAGAATCTGGCCCTCCCCGCCAGGCTCGCCCTCAGCGAGAAGCTCCTCCCACCGAACCCGGCTACTCTCCAACGGTGGAGTCCCACCCCCTCCTGCAGGGGCAACGCAGAGCAAAGCCCCACTCACCAAGCTAAGCCACGCCTCTGGGCGGAGCCCCAGCCCGTCCAGCTCACTGAATGATGCCCCCGCCCACCATGCGGCCCTACCCACCCAGCTGGGACGTACTCCGCGCCCCGCCTACCGAGCGTACTTCCGTTCCCAGGAGCGGGTTTCCACCCACCAGGCGTAATCCCGCCCACAGGGCCAATGGTTTTCCGCGAGACCGAGTGTCATAAACTAGAGGAAGCCCGGCCCTCAGGGCAGCCTCGCCCTCAGCATCCTTCCCTTTAGGTGGAATTGCCGAGGTGCGCTGGCCTTTACCAAGCTGCCGCCACTTCTCGACTGGCCCTGGTGAGTGGGTGTGCACAAGACGCTCCGCAGCGTTTGAGTCACGTGAGCCGTGAAGACTGTCGCCCGAGTCCCTACGCTCGGTCGCGGCTGCAGCCCGTCTGCGACCGCGCTCCCAGGAGGTGGCGCTGCGCACCTCGGCGGCGTCGGGCCTCGGCTGCTGAGGGAGGGCACCGCGTCTTCTTGCGCGACGTTTGTAATGAGCGAGAAGTTCAAATGCTTTTCTCTTTATAACATTTTTGCTGCAAAAAGCGGATTTCGGCAGAGGTACAAGTAACCAGGCCCAAGATAAAATATGAAAATAGAACACGTGCCGGGGAACTTAGGCGAACTTAGAAGAAACTTTCTTGCCTTTCCAGCGTATCTCTCTGTATATTGCCATATCTGTATGTATTCCCAGTTAGGTCGTTCTGGGTTGAGTTTTTTAGAAAATCGAATTCTTTCAAGAGGACATCGCCGTTAAATCTAACAATTTTCACGTATCTATAGTTTATTTAAATCATAGGAAAAGCCAGCTTTAAAAAATGTCAGTAGAAAAGTACTGACATTTTGTGTATATGCTGCCTACAAATATTTAGTGAGATTTTTGTCACTGACAACAGTTCAGCCTACACTCTGCCCAAAGTAGCAAAATAAGGCGATAATCCCACCCCCTTTTTCAAAGTGAGGATAATAAAAAGGCTTGGATTTTAACCATTTCTTGACAGTCTTACAAGTAGTAATTGACAAAGACTAGATTCCTTCTCAGCTGGCACTTGTTCAAGTCTTTTTTACACCTGATGAGCCATGTACCTACTTATAAAAAGATGAGTCACTTTTACAATAAATTGTTTTATTATGTTTATACTTAAAAAAATTAAGGCATATATTAAGGAGAGAGACATAATTACCTCTTCGTGTGTTTATTCATATTTTGTATTCTTTTTAAAGGCCAATCTTGTAAAAACTCTTTTAAAAACGGGCATAAAATGCCAGTAATGTGTGGGAGCAAAACCAGACCTTCAGAAAATCAGTAGGGTATTTTTCAAGAACAGTTATTTATTCACACTCAAAAACAAAACAAAACAAAAACAAACAAAAATCTAGCTGGGCATGGTGGCACAGGCTTATAATCCCAGCACTCGGGAGGCTGAGGCAGGAGGATTGCTGTGAGTTCAAGACTAGCCTGGGCTAAACAGTGAGTTCCAGGTCAGTTTCAACTACATAGTGAGACCCTGCCTCAAAACAAAACAAAACAAAACAGTTATTCACAAATACAGAAGCAAATAATACATATAATTATGGTTCCTTGAATGTGAGTTGTTGATAATATATGCAGAAGATGTAGAGGAATGATAGAGCAGTGTTAAGAGCTGTGGGGACTAGCTTTTATTATGAAATTCTCAAATATCTATAATACATCAAGGAACTAGCAGGGTTATATGGGTACAAGCAGAGACTTATGTAAGGTGAGGAAACATGGATGTCCATTTTACCTGTCCCGCCAACCAATAGTGTGGTCTTGGAAAAATTACTTCATTTCTGTATGCTTTTTAAAAAATATACATTACATGAAAATTATAGCTACTTCAAAGAACATTCATCTGCTCAGTTTCCCTCTCTGGGTAACTACTCTTCCCTGGTTAACTGGTCCTGGTTGAGCTAGTTGTTGCAGTCTTCCTCTAAGGAATTTCCAACTGGAGTCAGTGGGAATGTGACCTCTTGTATGTGCTGGAGTTGTGCTGGGAAGAAATGAAAATGAAGCTCTCAGTGGCCATCTCTTCCAGCAACCCACAGGAGCCTTATCTACTGTGGGAGAAAATACGGGCAGTGGAGAACAGAACTGAACAATACCGTGGAAGAGTCTGATATCATTTGAGTCCTTAAATTCTGCCATAGATAGAAGACAGATCTTTCCCTGTACTTCTCAGTTACCTGAGCTAAAACATGGCTTTGGGGGGATTTAAACATGGTTATTTTTAAGATTTTCTTGTACCTGAAAGAGTCTTGACTATTTCTGTCTTACTACACAGAATTATTGTACAGAGTTAATGAAATTTAAAAGACAAGAAAGCAGCCAGGCATGGGGATGCATGCCTGTAATCATTACACTTAGAAGGAAAGTCAAGAAAATCCCAAATTCAAGGCCAGCCTGCTTTACAAAGAGTTCAAGTGGAGCTTGACTCACAAGACCCTTGTCTCAAAATATTTAAAAAAAAAATCAGGAAAGCCCAAGATATTACTAAGAAAAAAGAAAGCATTTTATCTTTCCAAGAACACATGTTCCTAAATTAACCATTTACATGGACAGAAAAAAATTCCTTGAAAAAAATTTTAAGTCTTTAAAAATACATGCATAAGTCATATTTCCAGTTTTTCTTAAAACTTCCATAAGAGCTAAATAAGTAGGGAGAAGTTGAAATATTTCCCCATAGTTGTCTTGTTAAGACTCAATGATACAGTTCTTCATATAGACCCAGCCCTAAATGAACTGTCTTGGGAGTAATTCTAGGAGTAAGCAAAGGTAATTAGGGAGAAAAAGAGAATGAGAGCACATATAAATGATTGTAAGGCCTCTATAACAAAACTCGTTTCATCATCCTCTACCTGAACAAAGTCAACCTTGTGGAAATGATACTCCATAATAAATTTTTTTCGTCTGCTTAATCTTATTCTCCCACTACTCAATACCATATTGTTCAGTCAAAATAACGAACAGCTAGGCAGTGTGGGAGCTCAAAGGAGCTCTTTCTCTTAAAGAAGGGGCAGTAATCTATATTATGCACATGAAATGACTAGTAAGGATTCTGATGAATGCACAAAACATGTCATTTATGGAAAGAAATAACTTTGAAAACTGGAAACATTCATGTTAAAATTCTCTTGTCTTCAGGCAGAAATTGGCTATCTACAGCCCTAAAATCAGATCTGGCCCTTTGCTTATTTTTATATAGCCCACAGTGAATTTGCATTTCTAAATGAGGAAAAAGTTAAAATAAGAGCATTCTATTAAATTCTATGTCATTGTTCATAAAGTTTCATTGGCACCCAGTCGTGCTTGTTGTAGATATACTATCTACATGTGCCTTCGTGCTATAGTAACAGAGCTGAGTAGTTGCAGCAGACACTGCATAGAGTGCACAGCTTACAATATTTTGTTATGTGGCCCTTGGCCAACTTGAAAACTTTTGAAACTTTACCAGCCTCCATATTGGAGAATGAGCAGCATGGTGGTATAATTGATTGAAGCTTTAGTGTCTTATATGCAAAATATAAAAATCTGAAGAGAACGAAGGCATTTTTTTCTTCCCAGCAATCCAAGAAGGTAGACAAACTGATAACATTATGAATTTGGATGCCCATGTCTCTCGGTACCAGTGAAGTTCATGCTTCCCAGCTGAAAAATGGAAGACTCAGATATACGGAAGACACTCTTACATGGATCTCTCTCAGAGTCGGCAAAGAAAATGGATTTAAATTAGGGGAGAAGTTGACTGAAGAAATTACTGGGAAAGAGGGGTTAAAGGCTTTCTGTAAGTGCTTCAGATTCACATCTCTGGGACATGCTACTATGGTCTTAGGAAAGCAGCACAGTATCTCTGCACCCATTATTGCTACCGGGGTATGAAGCCATCTTCCTTCAAGTGAATATGGACTTTGGGTGGTTAATTACTATGATATCAGCTTACAATTTTTATATTTCCATCATTTTTCTGCAGTCATCAGTTAACATTCCACTGCAAGTAAAAGGTCTCTACCCGTTTACTTATATCAGTATGGGCTCATAGGTTACTATCTTCTTTAACAGATGATAGCATCTTATTATCATAATTTATTTTGATCTTCATATCACTCAGTTTTGGCCAGTGAATGTTCTTTTAAGACTCACTTGCCCCCACCATTTTAGCCAATTCCCACCAGTCTTTGACCACTTTCATGCTTATGGGCATGACAAGCATTCCAGGCTCATCTGGGGCCTGTGTTTTCACAACCCAGAATCAGTCATGGTTCCATTTTAGTGAACAGTGTTATTTAGAAAGCAAGATCAGAAGCAAAGCTAAGCAGTAATGCATGGATAAAATTGTGTACATGCTTTTTATAAACTGTCTATAAACAGTCACATACAATTGTATTTATTCTATATGTACAAACCATGAGTTCATGCTATTTGCAATTCCAATTAAATGCCATAGGGTTTGTTTTACCTTTCTGCCCTTCTTACCTACTTGCTTTGAGAGAGCTGACTTCCATTATTCTAAATATACTCAATAAGCTTATCTTTCTTCATTGCTGCCACCTACTACCTCTTCTGTCCCACCCTATCCTCATCACTACTGGGCTCCTATCTACCATGAAGGCTGCTACCATCTGGGTAGGCTGCCACCTGCATAGTTGGTTTCTTGGCCCTACTGCAGCTCAGACTTTCCTTGGGCTTTTCCAGGGATAACTGATGATGGCTTATTTTGGAGACTAATTCCAGAAGTAGCTGAGATCAAGAAATAGTTGCAGGCAAGGATGCAGAAGGTCAGGCAATAAATGATGAGGTCTATGAAGGGTTGTAAGCCCTTGGATGATTGTGTATATACTCTGCTTCCTCTGAGTATCCACTGCATGAAGAGCATTCAAAACAAACATTCTCCATTTCCATGTAGCTTCTTTGTGGGCCAAATAAATAATAAACTACCCTTCAAAAAAACCTACATTTCTTGTGAGAAGCCGGTTAGATCATGATGATTAATTGTGCAAATGAAGAGTTCTGTTTTAACCCCTCAGTGATAGAAGGATTTATTTCTGGACTAAGAATGAATATTTATAACACAGTCTATATAAGAAAACTGAGCAGGATCCTCCACCTTTATATCTAGGTCAAATTCGTGGAAATATCTGGAGGTTAAGAGCCAGTTAGTAAAAAGGGTTGGTTACCTCTTATATGAAGAAATGGCTCACCTCTTCAGATTCATATGAAGCTGCAGTTTGATCACAGGCTTTTGCTTTTCACTGAAGATTTTC